AAAAAAAAAATAATATATATATATATATATATATATATATATATATATATATATATATATATATAATTGCACAATGGGTTGATGGTATGTATCTGTGCCCACCTGCAGTCATTATATTTTGCAAGTCTATACTCGTCTTGCCATTTTTATATAAGTAGATATTTATTTGTCTCTATAAAAATATTTTTGTGAGTATTCATAAGATCTCAGTCTATTTTGCCATCTTACTCTAATGAATAGGATTGATTGCATTTGATTCTGAAAGACACAATTATTATTATTATTATGATGGCCATTGGCCATGGTTTTCTTTCTATCTGAATATCCGTTTATTTTAATGCAGCGTGTATTGTGAACAAGTGTTCCACAACAGAATGAATTTAATTAAGATAACTGGTAACCTACTTATCTAATAAAAGAAGTATGGGTACCCGATTTATGAAGGAAGCCTAGCAATTGTTTTCTTAATTAGATCGAAGCAAATCATAGGCGGCTGTAAGAACATACAACTATTGGTGGTCAACAATTTTGGCTTGAGTCAGAAGTTGTTGCAGGTTGCATTAATGGTGGGAGAAAGAAAGATATGGTACTGATGCTGCACCTTAACAATGTGAGAATGAAATCGATCTCAAGGTTAAAATTTGTGGTGCACCCTAGTCACGTATCAATCAATCAAGTAAAATAAAATTAGAGGGGACACAGTAACATGGTGTGCAAAAACTGAAAAAAGCTCTAATTAGAAAGTGCAAGAAATATAATACAGCATGTTTGGGTAAAAGTTTGAAATGTTTTTGAAAATTTTTCTATTAAAAATAATGAGTATTTTTAGTAAAAAAAAATGCTTATAAACTTGTATATATTAAAATACCTTAATATAAAAGTTTCACAGAAGTGAAGGAAGTCAAGGTCCAACCTTCGGTGACATGGTTTGGTGAGGGATGATGATCAGAGAAATTGAAAGTAGGAAAATGTCAAAAAGGATTTTCTGTAGAGACTGCTTAATCAATCTGACAGAACCAAATCCCAATGTGTAAAACATGAGATGATATCGAACCACCATGCTGAATTAGTCTTTTCAATAATTAGAACCAAACAACATGTATTCTTTTTTAACTATTAAATAATATTGTATAATATTTCAACACTCTCAGCACCAATCCACAGCATAAGCATCACGAAAATGTTAGTCACACTCCTTCACCATTTTCCACACTCGTTGTGTAAAACTCAAAGCTTTGTGGCACTTTCACCTTTCAGACACAAGGGGGGTGATGAAAAGATCAGTAGAAAGTGGGAAATTGTGAAGATAGAGCCAAAACCAAGGAGTTGTTTTACTTCAAAAGTGATTGATTTGTTGGAGAAGAGGGTGGTGAAGTTCTTCTATGATTCTTCACTGCCACATGGTTTCCTCGCTGGTAATTTTGCTCCTGTTCCCGAGACTCCTCCCACCAAAGACCTTCCTATAAAAGGGTACCTACCGGTTAGTACTATGTGTCTTTTCTTTGTTGAATTTATTCTTTATTCAATATAATTATAATGTACTCATGTTGTAATGATGGATTAAAGTGTAAAATGTTTTTTTCTGTTATCCAATCATATATAGATTATTATCATGTAAGGCACTGCAGTAAGATGATTGACTTGTGATTAGTGATTACAGCATTTTACTTGTAAGACACTGTGCCACTCATTATTGCCTACCATTTGAAATGAGTTGCAGGATTGCTTGAATGGGGAGTTTGTCAGAGTTGGACCTAATCCAAAGTTTGCTCCTGTAGCTGGATATCACTGGTATTTTTTTTTCTTTATTTCTTTGTTTTTGTATATTTTGAACACTGTATCATGAGAGATTGAACAAATCTTGGTAAAAAATGCTTTTCAATTCTTGGTGATCCTTGTAGCTTATCAGTATATTGATTTTCTTTCTATATTTACTTTTATGGGATGGTTTGGTTGTTCATCTGTGTTAAGAAATTTGTTCTTAAAGTGGAGTTTGATGCTTATACCATGCTTTCTCGCACTGTTTTCGCAGGTTTGATGGAGATGGGTACGTGATTCTCTTCCTACATGCAAAACATATATTTCTTTTGAGATTATTGCAGACGAGTTTTTTGGGTCAAAAGACAGGCAATATTTGCAATTGCATAGGGATATTTTTGACTGTTGAGCATCGAAGTTCCATCAAAATCTCCATAGTTTTTTCTTTTTGGCAGAATCCTTTTATTGGCAGTTTTTAATTATCAATTTTCGTTGTCTTGTAAAATTTGTGAGCTCTAATTTAGCGTAGTGTTTAGTTGGACCAGTGATTACATTTTAATTTCTAATTTTGTTAAGTAGTGACATATCAAATCAAATGTTTATTAAAGTAGTCTAGTAGTTTTATACAGGAATAGAAGAAAAAAGTATATTCAACATGACATGTCACAATTTCACAAAAAACTTTGTATGGAGTTTAAAGTACATGACATGTATAGAATGAACATAAAGTTAAAATATATGGCCCATAATCTTAACTAAAACTGAACAACATAATATTCTAGATAACAAAGATGTGAATCTGCCATACAGATTTCAGTCACTTGTTTTGTTAATTGAACACAAGTTCCAATTATACAGTCCCTTTTGACTTTCAGCAGCTCATCATAGTGAAAGTTATACTCTTTTTGGTGTTCTTAAATTTTGGGCTGTTAATTACACTACGAAATTCATAGTTCAGATATCTGCTCCTCCAATATTGATCTACGTATCAATGAATTGCAGAATGATTCATGGTTTGCGTATCAAAGATGGAGAAGCTACATATGTTTCCCGTTATGTGAGAACTTCTCGTCTTAAACAAGAAGAGTACTTTGGAGGCCCCAAATTTATGAAGGTTTGAAAAGAAAGTGAAAACATAGAAGCTATGTAAAACTTTCACTCTTCATAGAAATGTTTTGTTTTAGATTCCCAAGACAAATGTTGCTTCTTTATATGTCTTTTTCAGATTGGAGATCTCAAGGGTCTATTTGGACTTTTAATGGCTATTATATATATTTTGAGAACTCAATGCAAAGTGCTGGATGCTTCTTATGGAACTGGAACAGGTAACCTGTGCTATATATATATATATATATATATATATAATTGTTTTCAAATCTAAGGTCCTACGAAACTTTGTACATCCTGGAATATTGTGCAGTGCAATTCAAATATATGTCCATTTGATGATTCTACTACTGTTGCATTATGTAGTGATACTTCAAAAAATATATTAGAACTAGAGGTCTAATTTATCATTCCAGTTTTAAGGTAGCCCTCAATTTCTTTTTTCAAAAGACTGGAGTGTGCCTTATCTGGTACTTAGCCTCCCTGATTGCTCACACACATGTTTGGTGAAATGTTTTGATGGTTATTGATTGGGAATACTAAGCTCTTTAGTATATGACTGGAAGTGATGAAACTAATTTGTGCTTATACTCTAATTTCTACTAGCCAATACTGGTCTTGTATATCACCATGGGAAACTTCTAGCACTCCAGGAAGCAGATAAACCTTGTAAGTACCACTCTTATCAGTTTTAGTTTTATGAACAATATAGACTTGTTGATTAAATCTGAAATGTCATTGAACGTAGAGAGCAAAGGTGTTGAAAAGATTCATCAAGTTAAGAAGTTTAGCAGCGATGGTTTTTTTTTTTTTAACTGCAGTCAAATCAGTGTCTTGCTAGCTATAGTTGTGTCTAGGTTTAAGAATTTTAGTCGTGTAATTTTAGTCCTTTAAATTTTAATTGAGTAATTTCATCTCAAGTATTGCAGTTGTGTAATTTTAATCTCTCAAATTTTAATTGAGCAATTTTAGCCTCTTAAGTACCATATTTAAATGATTTTGGTTGTTCAAGTATTATAATTATACAATTTTTTTTTATCTATTTAAGTTACATATATTATTAATTTTAGTAATAATAAATTTATATCATCTAATACATAAATAAAAATTATAATATATGTAACGTAAATAGGTTAAAAATTACTATACTTGAGGACTAACGATGTACAATTGCAAAATTTGAAGAACTAAAATTTCTTATTTAAAATTTAAAAGACTAAAATTGCATAATTACAATAATAAAATTACTTAATTAAAATTTTAGCATCAAAATCGCAATAAGTTTTGTGTTTACCTCTTTTGGTGTAGGAGTAAATAGTTTCATTTTAAATTTTGCAGATGCTGTTAAAGTTTTTGAAGATGGTGATTTGCAAACACTTGGTATGCTAGATTATGACAAGAGATTGGACCACTCTTTCACTGCTCATCCAAAAGTTGACCCATTTACTGGTGAAGTGAAGCCATCTTCAAATAAGCAATTAAATTGACTGATTCAATGGAACAGTTATTCCAACAAATAAGTATTCTGTATGCAGGGGAGATGTTTACATTTGGATATTCAATTACACCACCATATATCACGTACAGAGTTATTTCAAAGGACGGTTATATGCATGATCCTGTGCCCATAACAGTATCTGATCCCATCATCATGCACGACTTTGCAATCACAGAGAATTATGCAATATTTATGGATCTTCCTTTGATCTTGAGGCCAAAGGTATGGCAGGTGTTTCTGTTCTTGTATTCTGGGAAAAACTTATATTGCATGTTGTGAGTTTCCGTTTTTTTTTTTTTTTTTTTGTGTGTGTGTGTGGGGGGAATGGTTGTGTCAAAGATGATTTGATGGTAAAGTCTATTCACTTTGAACAACAATTAATGGCTATTAATGTATATGGCATTTTTGATTGAAATCCGTTTTTCAGGAAATGGTGAAGAATAAGACACTGATATTCTCATTTGATTCAACCAAGAAAGCTCGTTTTGGTGTGCTCCATCGGTATGCCAAGGATGAAAAGCATATCAAATGGTTTGAGCTGCCAAGCTGCTTCATATTCCACAATGGTGTGTTTTCTTTGTTTTTGTTTCTCCTTCATATAATATGTTCATTAATATTCTGCAATGATGATTTTTGTAAAAATTCAATACTGCATATTTTTTTTTTATTGAAAAATGTTAATTGTTAGTTATTAGTTGTGGGTGGAGGGATTTGAACCCATACTCTCCTTATCACTCCAACCTTATATCTTTTCCCCCAAATCACTTCGACCATATGATCACTCCTTCAATAGTGCATATGATTGAAGTGCATGGTAAAAGAAATCACTACAAAAAATATGCAATTTAGCGACCACCAAAATTGGTCGCTAAATTGCTAAAATTGGTTGATATTTATCTTAGCGGCCGAATTTAATCAGTCGCTAAACTCCTGGTCATTAAGCTATTTAGCAACGGAAAAATTTTCGGTTGCTATTTAGCGATCGAAAATTTCGGTCACAAAATGGTTGCAATGATTTTGGTCACTGAAGTGTATGGGACTAAATTAGTGACCGAATAAATCGGTCGCTAAATATTTATTTTTTATTTTATTAAATTTTATAGACATCGCAAATTTGATCGCTACGAACTACTCATATTTGGTCTCTTAAGGATTTTATTTCACAATACTTAACTTTTTAGCATGTTTTGTCCTTAATTATACAATTTTTAGAAACTTCCCAGAAGGTCACCCATCCCTATATTACTCAAAGTCAAGCATGTTTAACTGTGAAGTTCTTATGATATAAACTACCGAAAAACAGATGCATGTTAGTATAAGTAGTGCAAATTAATTCATTTAAGTCATCCTCAACTACCAATCTCATACTTATATTATATTTGGATCCTTATCATTTTGGTGTATTCGGACTGTTATAAATATATAATAATATATATAATAATTATATTACTAATAATAATAATTATATTATATTTAATTAATCTTTATTTATATATATACTTACTT